AAGTTGGCGACCAAAATTTACGATCTGGCGACCAAAATTTTTCCTTTAGTCGCCAGCTGGCTCCAGAACGAAAAAGTTAATTTCGAGCCTTGCCTTGAGTCTGGAAAATAAAAAAAGTGGTCTGGAAAAAGTCTGGAAAAAGTCTGGAAAAAGTCTTTAATTCTGTCCACAAGAAAGTGTACGAACCCTGTGGTATGTTACACTCCTACCTCCCCATAACGGCCACCTCTCTACGACGCCCACTTTCCTCTGTCCCTAAGGTGGCCGTTGTGGAGAGATGCGACTGTATTTATCTATTGTTTTGTTATATCCACTCCTTCGACAATTAGCCGCTAACTTGACTCAGGTGAATTAAATAATGGCAAAATTTTAAATTTATTTGTTAGTTACCTTTTTTGTTTTGTTTTTTTAACAGATACTATAATCCACTCAGGCACAATATACACGTCGGAATTAAATCGTGTCGAATGTAATTCATTCCCGTAAAACTCGCGGAAATCGCAGTAAATTAATCCAATAGGAAATGCCTAAACAAACAGAAAAGTACTGATTACTACCCAGATAGTGTATTAGTTTATTGCAACATAGTGGAATCAACTAATAACCGTGAGATTTCTGCGGCTTGAATTACCTTCGACACGACTGAAGTGCGATAAATGTAAGCCTTAATTACAGAGAATATGTAAATCCTCCTTCCTGTGCACTTAGCCTCGAACTGCTCGAAGTAAATATGAAACGTGCCTTAAAAGAATTAGCTGTGATCATGATCGACACCAAATTTCTCCTTGTGAAGTCTATACTTAAATCAATAGCACATGTAATGAGAATTTAGTCGGTGGTCACCGATGGGAAATTGTCATGATAGTCAAAAATTCTCCCAACCTTTAATATAAGAAATATATGGAGACCAGTGGAGATTTTTGTATCTTGACTGCGAAGTCAGACTTCGTCCTCTCGTTCACTGTGAACGCTTTCCAGCCGGACTGTTGTCCCACGTACAGTCTTCCTTCTTACCATTTGAGGTGTTTCACGCAAAGACTGCAGAAACTTGTTCGTATTTTTATCTGAGTTCCTAGAAAACAACCTCCTTAAGTCCTCCCTGAAACTGTGACTTAACGTTGTGTAGAGAATCGGATTGAAGCAGCTGTTTGCAGTGGTTAGAAGTCTTGCAAACTCGTACAACTGTCGAGTGAAGTGCGATGATAACAAGGCTGGTTTCACCATGATACTCAAAATTATCACTTTTCCTGGTAAGATGCAAATCGCGTATACCAAAACCAGGCCGGTCAGTAACTTTGTTGTTTTTCGGTTTTGCTTCTCGCGTTTTTCGGCCACATCCACGCTGGTGTAGATCCCTCGCCTGGAGTTCAATTTGTGAGCTTTTCGCAGATGAGAGACAATTCCGACGTAAAAGAGAATGATACAAAGCGCCGGGATTACGAACTGTGGGACGATCAGCGCCATGATGTAGGTCAGATTGAACGAGAGCTGGTTGGGCCACCAGGCTATGTCAATCAAGCACCTTCCACTGGGTTCCACGGTCAAAGCGAACACGAATGGTACTTGCAACACACATGAATAAACCCAGCTAAATACGACCATCACAAGAGCCTTTCGTTTGCTCAAACGGCTCGTCAGCGTGTTCACAATCGCCTTGTACCGCTCGTAGCCGATGCAGATCAACATCGATCCTGAGACTGTCACGGAAAGAGAACTCAGAACGTTGATAAGCTTACAAGGAACAAACCCAAAGGGCCATATGGAGCGATTCTCTAAGTACGCGAGGTCGAACGGAAGAAATAGAAAAAGAACCATCAAATCGGACAAGGCGAGGTTTAGTATGAAATATCCTTTGGCCGAACGGAATGTTTTGTTCTTTGTACCCAAGATTATTGTACAGACTGTTAAATTGCCAATGACTCCGATAAGAAAAGTCACAGGGTACAAGACAAGCCGCACAATGCGAACCGCAACATGTTCGTCGAAGAGAAACCCTTCGTCTGCTGTAGTGTTGTTCATGATTGTCTTTCAAGTCCTTAGCTCTCTTGTGGCTTTTAACTTATTTAGTCTCTGAAACGAAGTAAATGAAAATAGCATCATTAGGCAGTAGTGTTATTTTCGATAAATTACTTCAATACCCAATGGAGTGTAATCAATGGCTACCTTCACCTAATCGAAGGCGATCAATTAAGGAAAAAGGGTACGGTATGTACGAAAATTGCTTTCTCTAATTTATAATTTGCCGTCTTTTAAATGAATACTCTTGCGAGCCGTCGAAAGTTTCCGAGGGGAAATTCGTTTTGGCACCTTAGGCGTAAGAAAGCTACTTTGGATCTTATCAAAATTTAATAACTTCACCGGAAAAGCTGGTCAAGAACATTAAATTTGCTATTTGTTTATTTAGACGCTCGACGAGACAAGTGTGTTGCATACGAATTAACAATTACGTGATGAACATGATGAAATCAGACTTTTACATGAGCTAGTGCTGATAGAGTGACAAAACATATTATTTCAAATTGTGTTTTTTATTTAATAAGCATGGCCATGGCAAAAAGTAGTTTAGTTATTAGAAGTTTAAAGAGGGTACAACTCAGGGTACAAACACCTTTTCCACGTTCATACCGGTCAACCAACTGAAACACGTTTCTGTGACCAACAAGAGTTCAAAAACGAGTGAATATGTTCCCTGTGCGGACTGTTTGATCTTTCACACCTCCAGGTCTGTTTTTGTCGATTTTGTTCCCTCGGTTTCAGGGTGCTTTTAATTACGGTTGTCCAAATGGAAATGAAAAGATAGTGAAAAATCAAATGACATCTTTTTCAACTGAAAGTCGATCTAATTCGGATTTATCAACAGGCATCTAGTAATCAGTCTAGAAAGCTTCCCCACACTAAGAAAAGGTTTGTGCGCAGTTCATATAATTGACCTTACGAGATCGTGATCACTGAGAACAAACCTTAGTTACAACCACTGTCATAAGCCAGTTGTAAGGTAAACATTGATGAATAGCCGGACAAGCGCACATGTCAACCTTACGCTTCCGAGTTGCCACGGCCACCGAATAATATAAATGTTTATCTTCGTGGGAAAACAAAACTCAAAAATTATTTTTCTTTCTTAATTTTTTGTGCATCATGAAAAATAGCCCTTGATGTTTAAAATTTCCTTTAAATCGAAGGGTTAATCCTCAAAATGATAGTTTATTACGAAAACGCTAAAGGACTTTGAGCTTTGCTCGCTTTGACTTGCTGCCCTCTGCGCCAGCCGGCCCGATGGACTGATAAGTGACGAATGGAGAACGACAAAATTAAAAACTACATATACTAAGCTTATTTTTTTAGACTCCTTTCTCGCATTGATTCTTTGAAAATACAATGAATAATAACAAAATGGCGAGGGGGCATTACAGGGCTCGAAATTAACTTTTTCGTTCGGGAGCCAGCTGGCGACTAACGGGAAAAATTTGGTCGCCAGATCGTAAATTTTGGTCGCTAACTTATTT